GCTTTTTACCAGCCATTGACAGGCTTTTTCTATAAAGAGCCAGACAGTAATGCTTTAGGCTTCGTGGGTCTTTGATGCAGCTACTCAGCTCTGCTGGGATAGTGCAGAATAGCCATGGATAATAGGTGAACAGATGGGCCTGGCTTTGTTCCGATAAAATTTTATTTGCAAAAGAATGATGAGCAGGATTTGGCCCATGGGCCGTAGCTGGCCAGCCTCTGCTCCAGAGTGGTAAATTAGTCAATGAACCTAGCTGAGAACCATCGTGTTCCCTTGGGAGAAAAGTAGCCCCATGCATGAACAGGTTAAAAAAGGGTGGAAGAGAGCACATGAAAATAAAGATGCAGTGGAGAGTGAAGACCTGGCAGATCATAGGCCTGGGAAGGATTCAGATGGGGAACTTGAGCGAGTGAAAATGCACGTGGAGAGTTGGGGTCATGGCATAAAGGGGTAGCTGGGGCCAAGTTTTCACGTTCCAGTTTAAGAGAATGCAGGAGAGATATGCTTATTCAACCATGTCTTACATTTGTTATTGGGTTTTTGTTTGTTTGTTTGCCTTTTTTTTGGTTTTCACATTAGGAGGGGCAACATGCAAATGGATGGCTTGAATTTCCTTTTTTAATCACATTTAGATATTTGGAGTTCAGAGTAAATGCATTCTATTTGCAACATGTTATCTATAATCATTGTATCTGAAGTGAAAATATTTATCCGTTTTCATCCCTAGCCACCTTCTCCAGTGCTGTGTCCAATTAAGAACATTTTCTTTTCACGTATCTTGATTAGATTTATACAAATTATTCCAACATTAAGCTCAGATTATATAATTGGAAGAGGAGAGAGATGGATTTGTTTTGTTTTGTTTTTCTAAATATGATTTATGTAATCCAGACTTTCTTAAACAAAGACAGGTTTTAGGAACATGATGCATGCAGTCTTACAGAAGTGTATATATACTCCAATAGAGATTTTCTTCCTATTATGATATGACAACATAACCCTTTTCTGATTGAAATTTTATGTTAAGGCTTAAGGTGTAAACACTTCAGAAGGCAAACAACTTATTGAAGAAATTACCGTTTGTTAAAAAAATGTGTATCATCTCATAACAGGCTCTTGAATTTTCAAATTCACACGTGAGAATACGTTTACATCTTAAACTTCTAGGAAAGGCACAAACTTTATGTAAAAAAGCAACTAAATTTTAAACCCACCAATTTATTGAAAAAGCCATTCATTTTATGAGAGACCGAAAAAAAAAATGCTTCTCAAGAAACTCATCAAGAGATGGGTTTCCTGTTCAGCACGGCTTTCAAATTTTACTTGAATTTATCCTCTTTTTCTCCTTCTCTGTGCTCATAACTGCTTTATGGCTGAATGGAACTGCTTAGTTATTTTAATTCCGAAACCTAACTTTTACTCACATTCTAATACTTTTGAAATCAGGTTACATCTTTAGGATCAATGGTTATGCGTTGAGCTACTGAATGTATATTTTAAGTTTTTACTCCAGAAACTGTTGTGAAATTCATAGAGTGTCTTCCAATTGACAGCATCTTAAAATCAAGGAAACTCAGTAGTAGTTCTGCTCATGTTTTTGCCTCCATCTTTCCTTTGACAGCCACTTCTGGAGTTCGCAAAGGGTGACATTTCTGGAAAGCAAATCTGATCTTGTCACTGCCTCACTGAGTGATTATGAATGTCTCAAAATAATTTTGAGTGAGCTCAGTATTTAAGCTCCATGGTATAGCATGCAAGGGACTTGCTCGCTAAGGCTGTCATATTCTGGCCCAAAGAACTGATCCCTAGTCTCCTTTCCAGCATCCCTCTCTCCCTCATGCAAATTGCTTCATTCCTGACAATCAGACTCAACGGTGCATGATTTTAATATAGGTGTTGTAAAATCTCTGAGAAAAGTTAAATAAATTGGGATCGGTGTTGAGCTGAAAATAACTAAAGCAAACTTTTTCAAAAGCTGAATACTTTAAGATGGAAATGCATCATTGTCCTTGCAGGAAAGGCTTGACTTTTTAATATTGGAGTAAATTGAAGAGGAAGCTTGTGAAATATCTGTCTTGGGAGCCTTTTAAACACAGACTAGATGCTCTTCTGTTTGGGGTGATTTAGGTACATCCACGAGAGATAAACAAGATGAACTTTGAAGTTGTGGCCAGTTCTAGGGGTTTGGGGGTGATTAATGGCTGTGTCTACATGGGGCCAAAACAGCCAGATGGACGTGAAGAGAGAAATTCAGTTAGTCATCTACATGGTCTCTCTCTGTGATTTTAAAGACCTGGAGATTTCACAGTTGAATATAGATACTTATTTAAAAAAACAACAGTATATTTCACTGATATTTTCTGCTTTGAATATTCATCCATTGCTATAGTATAAGCAACCCCACAAGATAAACACTTACCTTACTCCCATCTGCCATCAAATAATACATATAGCATCATAATTCTTAGAAAAATTAAAATGAGTTGAATTGAAGTATGGAGATTACTCAAAAACGAAAAATAGACTTACCATATGATCCAGCAATCCCACTCCTGGGCATATATCTGGAGGGAACTCTAATTTGAAAAGGCATATGCACTCCAGTGTTCATAGCAGCACTATTTACAACAGCCAAGACATGGAAACAACCTAGATGTCCATCAACAGATGATTAGATAAAGAAGTTGTGGTGTGTTTATACAATGGAATACTACTTAGTCATAAAAGGAATAAAATAATACCATTTTCAGCAACGTGGATGAACCTGGAGTTCATTATTCTAAGTGAAGTAAGCCAGAAAGATAAGGAAAAATACCATATGATATTCATGGGGAATCTAAAAAAAAAAAAGACACAAAGGAACTTAATTACAAAACAGAAACAGACTCACAGACATAAAAAACAAACCTATAGTTACCAGGGATAAAAGGGGGTGGGAAGGGATAAACTGGAAGTTGGAGATGTGCAGATACTAATATATATAAAATAGATAAACAAGTTTCTACTGTACAGCACAGGGAACTGTATTCAATATCCTGTAGTAATGTATAATGAAAAAGAATATGAAAAGAAATCTGTATATGTACATGTATGATTGAAACATGATGCTGTACACCAGAAACTGACCCAACATTGTAAACCAACTATACTTCAATTTTATAAAAAATGAGATAAGTTGAAAATGTTTCAAATGGTTTTTGTTTGGCCTGAGAATACGATAATAATGAAAGGACAGAGTAAAGTCAATTTTCTTGATGACGTTTTGGCCATTTCTTCATTTTTATAAAATGGAAATTAGGAAATGGCTTACCCACTGTACAGATACTTACACGGCTGTCTGTTTCACCTTTAGGTACGTATCTTGTGCCTTGGGATGCCCGTGTGAAGGAAGCGTCACGCCACAGAAAGTGACTGAAGTAAGAGCTTCATCCAGTTTTCTAGTTCATGGTAAAATGATGTCTATTATTTTAAAAAGTGGGCTATTTTTCTTCCCACGAATTGCATCTGCACCACAAAGACTATGGAGAACTGTGTATTGGAAGACACGTTGGCTCACTTGGTGAATAGTTTTATTTTAACACTCAAGACCTATATGTTGACTATCACTGATCAGAGTTAACATTCGAGTCTTATCCTTTGGGTGCTCAAAGTTGGAGCGAATAAAAGCATCTCTTTTGTCTTCATGTGGGTAGAGCACACTGAGTGACCTTTTCACCTTCCGTCAGAGTGCTGCCAGGGCAGCTGGTACACACACTTGAACTTCTCCTTGGGTGCTCAGGTGGCCTCCCTTGTTGTCTCCTGCGTACGTTGGCACTTGTGTGTGTTCCTTCAAGATCCCGTAGCTCTCACTGCCGAGAGCCTGCTAAGTTGCTGTTACTCCATGGCAGTTTCACAGCAATAGATGGTAGTCATGAAGGACCTGCTTAGTGAAGTTCATTTTCTACTCCCTGTTCCTGTTTCTTAATTGATGCCAATGAGTACAAAACTCTTGGTCTTTGAGATTGGGTTGGATGCTCAAAAACTCATTTGTACATCATGTAGC